CTCATTGTCAGCTGCACTGAATTCCTATGCAGCATGCTCATTCCTCTTTTGATGCCTCTGCAGATGTTTTAGGCTCTACATGAAAAAAAATAAGTATTTATACGGACACATTACCTCACCTGAGATGGTGTCATTGTGCTGTATTCTTTACATACAGTAAAAATTGCTGCTCTGTTCCTCCTACAAACTTAGCATCTCAATGATCAAGACAGATAAAGCTTTGGAAGTGAAAGACAGGTCCAAGGTCACCTCTGCAGGAAAGCAACAGAGCACATCTCCCATCCTGTGGGAAGGTGACAGTCTGTCCTGTCTCTTTTAAAACAGTTTTGATAAGAGGACATTCCACAAATCTGAGAAACAGGCACTGCCCATTTCCATACTTGCAGGAAGGGTGTCTTCAAGTGAGGAAGCTTGATTACAAAGTCTGCTGAGTATGCAAGGGAAAGAATGAAGTATTGCATTTGCCACAGACCTGATTTTTGTTCTTCTCTTCCATTATCTAAAGAAAATATGGTATGATTTTTGTTCCAGTCATTGCAAACAGTTTTCAAACTGGTGCAAGAGAAGATGTGTGGATGGGACCAGGACATTTTCTTTTGAGTGTGAGTGTGTGCACGTGACTGTGAAAGGTCTGATTTTGCAAATTTATCACGTGCATAAAATTAAATCTATCAGCAAGCATTCACACATTGCAGTCTGGGGGTTACTGGTCATTTGCTGCAGAAAATAAATCTTTCAAGGTCCTGCAGAAAGCATCCTCTGGAGTTCCTTTTCATAAGGCATCCCAGAGCAGTTTTTCTAAGCCATGTTACCCTCTCAACTCATGAGGATGGATAAGGCTGAGGAAGGAGCTGCAGCTTGGCAGCTTAGTGAGAAAGAGGAGCTGAGATCCTCCCTACCTCATGGTATAGAGAGCACATCAATGCAAGAAGCTGCACGTGAGAATAAATGGAAGAATAAGAGATCCCTGCATGTTGCCATGGAGCTCTTCTGTCTGGACTTCAGGCATGCTGTAACATACGATCCTTCTCTTTGTCCCTGTTGTAGGCAGCCCTAGTTAGTCTTGACAGCATTACTGTGCTCAGCAATCAGTGTTATCCCCATAAAACAGCTCGGTTAGCTTCAGCAGAGGCATCTCTGGGGCTTGCACGCCCTCACTCTCTGCTTGCTTCCCAGACCACCATGCTCTGCTGCTTTCCTCAATCCCCACAAACACTCCTGCACCACCACAGGGCTGAACATACCGAGGAAAGCTCTTCAAAAGAAAAAAAAAAAAAAAGGCAAAAAAATTATGTAGGAGATAGCTGTATTTTTTTTAAAAATAATTTGTTTATTTGCCAATTCTGCTTTTCCCAGCTTCCCTCTCATGGTGTCTGTAACTTGACTTTATGAACTTTCTTTTTAAATCAAGTGCTTCCAGACATTAGGTGGTGGAGTGGAGGAAGAACCACACATGTTTTCAAGGAAAATTAATACTGATAAGGTGCTGGCCACTGTCTGTCCTGTTGTTGTTAGAATGCACATTTTCTCCCTTGAGTGTAGAGCACCTTCTGATGGAGTGCTCCTTATGTTGAAAAATGGCAAGCATTAAGGACTCCATGCCACTTCATTGCTGAAATATTTACTAGAGCAAGCTTGCTTCCTCCATCTGAAAGTGTGGTGTATTTATAGGAGCATCCTGTAATGGAGCATCCTGCACTGAGCAGTATTTTTGAAGAATAAGGCAACATTTTGTGTGAAGGGCTGGGGTTAGGGCTCTCTCCTGTGTTGTCCCCACTGCTGGCAGGTGCTGGCAGCACGCAGGGGACTGCAGGAGCTGATTGACTGGAGCAGATTCCCTCTGGTATGTGAAGTCTGCGAGGACCCTGCAGGGGATGGGAACTGCTCACAGGGCTGAGGAATTTCACTTCTGAGATCTCTGTGTGAAACTGCCAGGAAGGATCAACTTGGAGCAAAATGGGGGATGTTTAGGTGTGTTTTTTTTTTTTTTGTTGTTGTTAAAATGTCAGATCACAGGGCTCCCTGACCATGTAAATAGTGCAGGTCAGATCCTCAGCTGATGTGCAGTGTCAATGTGCTGTCTGTAGCAGCTGGAAATCTTGGGCTGGTGGGTATGGGAAGATTCCTGCCCTGCTCTGTGGCTGTGGAATGCTGGAAACAGCAAGAACAATTGAATATGGAGGTCACAGAAATGACAAGAGCAACTCTTGTGTTCTGGTGTTGTCAGCACAAACACAGCAATTGATTGAAAAGTGTCTGCTAACCAGGCAGCAAAGAGCGCAATTAGAACTGAAATAGCAAGAGGGTCTATTTCAGATTTTTATGATTCCAGCTTGCACCACCCCACTAATTTTAAGTGCTGATGATTTTTCTGTCTGGGCTGGAGTCAGCTGGGGACCAAGAGCCATCTGGGACTGAACAAAACTCAGGGTTTCTCAGAGCTTCTGCTGTCAAGAGTGTGACATAAACACACCCTAAAATTGAAGTGCAGTCCTCTGATCTACCTTGGGGATTAACAAGGATCACTGCAGAGTGTGGCTGGGGACTGCTTAAGCTTTACTGGAAGCTATGAGGTCTGTCCAGGTCCCCTGCATCAGAGGTACATGGTGGAGTTTTCCCAACTGGAAACCTGTGCTGGGGCTCGAGCTGGACAGCATTTTGGGAAGGTGTGAGTGATGTGGGATACCTGAGATCCTGTTAAGTCCTATGAGGTATGTGGGGACTCTTGTCAGCTTGCTAATGTTGAAGGTCAGATGCTTGAGCTCTGAGTGGGGTAAAGAAAGACTTTTAGACAGTCAAGGAGGCTTTCTTATTGTCCTGATCTCCCAAAAATATCATATTAAAGAAATGAGTAGACCTGGTGTCCTGATGGAGGAATAGTGCTCGGGAATAAGTAAGCAAAGTGAGCAGGGTCAGGCTTATGAGTGCACCATCTGGGACAGTCAGCAGGCAGGGCAAATGTGCCTTATCACCTGAATGGAAGGGAATGGTGTCTACAGAAGAGAGTTCTTTGCAGGCAGCTTTTTTGGTGTGTGTGCTAAAGTCTGTTGTTTGAGGAAGAGCAAACAGGCCCCTGGCACGGGTGAATTCCACATGTGAGGCTCTGTGGCTTGGAGCACCACTGATCACATTGCTCACCCCGTGGGTCAAGTCTGAGTCAGAACTTTCCACAAAGTGTTCAGTGAGGAGCACTCTGATCTCTTAATAAATATTAGCAGTACAGTAACAGCAGTGCAGTGCAATGTTCAACAGTCAATTACTTGAAGGGCTGCTGTATCAAGTAAGAATGTGTAAAAGATTTTCTTGGATTCTTGAGTCATTGCTTAGGCTGGAATGGTTGCTGCAAGAATCACAGTGTTAACCCTGGATATATCCCAAGCTGAGTAAATGTAATTTTTAACCATCTACACTGAGGGTTGAATTTGCTGAATGCATGTCTACACAGTGCTAAATGCAACATTAAAAATGGTGCGTGCCCATGGCATTGACAATCTCTGTTGACTTTATGGGGAAACACAGTGCCTCAAATAGAACAGAACTACATCTCCATGTTCTTTTATTACCCCCTCATCCCACCCAGACCTGCTCTCTGGTAAAAGGTAAAACTCTGCACCATTTATTCCTGTTGTGAACAGCTGCTGTACTTTAAGAAAGTAACTGAAATCTTCTACTCAATCAGTTGAATGTGACATTCTTCCGAGAATCAGCCCAGGTTCAGTCCAGGGTGCTGCCTCTTCCAGTTGTGTGAAGGAGTAATTCTGCTCTTCAGTTTGCACGAAGGTGGCAGAAAGCAGACGTGGATTTTAGCACTGCTGTCTCACACTGAGCAGCATGAGAAACCTTTTTGAGAAGCCTGGTTGCAACTGTGAGGAGCTGCTGGTGGCTCCAGCCACTGCTTGCTGTGAGCAGAGGTGACTCCTGTACCTCCCCTGTTGCCAAGGGTTCTGGTGCTGACTGCAAGCAGTTATCACTGTTTTCCTGCTGTTGTTACAGCCATTTTTGCTTGGCACCAGCAGTCATCTCTACCTAGCTGGCAGGTTTGGAGGGCCATGGAGGTGTAATGCAGTGCTGTTGCAACAGAATTCTAGATGCCTGTTCAAAACTAACCAAGACAACGCAATAATTAAATTCCTTATACAGAAGTCATTACCACAGAGGAGTGCAGTTGTAGTGAAAGCATTTGAGGCTGCAAAGAAAGATCACATAAAAATGTTCTTCAGTGATGCACAAATAGGTAGTCAGCACCACCTCGGAATACCCAATTCTTGAGTGGGTACTTGAGGAGCTTACTTTTCCTGGCTTATTCTACATCATGGGAAAAAAAAAAGAAGATTGGGTCATTTTATTCTGGAAAGCATTTTTCCTGTCTCTTTGGCTGTCACATGTATTTAACTTTAGTGCCCTCAAGGACAATGTGGTGGATCAGCATGCTAAGGTCTACAGTCTACAGCCTGTAGTTTTTCATTTCACGTTGCTTTAAGAATGGTCCTCTTTGTTTCCATTTTGAGCCACAGCTGAATTCTTACATGTTGTCTGATCTTCAGGCTCAAATACCCAAGAGAATAGGCAGCTGTGAATCAACCCTCTGTGTGCTTTCTAGCAGGTAGTCTAGCAAAGAAGGCAGCATGCTTCTTATTTCTTTAAATTGATTGGGATTTGAAGGAAAATACTTTAATAAAAGTCTCATGAATGATTATTTTCTTCCTGCTGATGATTCTGAATTGCATGCAGAAATATAAGAACGTTTTAAGAGAGCCCTGTAGGTTTAAACCCAATTCTTTAGATTTATAATTAAAGCTCATTGTCTTTATGCTATCTTACACCTTATGAGGAGGATCACCTTTCTAATTACACAGTACCAGGAGGTCTGTCACATGCTTTTGCTCAGCATTATGGTACACAGTTGCTCTATTTTTTTTCTTCTCCTCCTCCTTCTTCCATAGATTCAATATTATGTTTTGGAAATTGAACATAATGATTTTTTTTTTTTTTTTTTGAGGCCAGATGTTTCACTCTGCTCTGTTAAGTCATATTGACATACTGCCATGAAATAGAAACAACTGCTAGTTTCAACATTGCTCTGTATCTTTATTAAGAGGTATGTCTCATGAATCTTAATTCCCCACATATATGCTATCTTCCTTTCTCCTCCCCTCTCCCCCATTACACTTCTTTCTTTTCCAGCCTAAAGAAGGAGGAATATTAAAATTTCCTTGCTGTTCTGTCTGAGTGGTTAATGAGGTTCTAGATAGCGTAATGAATATGCAGCGCTATTGATTCCGTGTGCGCGCGCGCGTGCGTTTGTGTGTGCGTGTCTTTAATCACAGCTGGAATGCAAAATCAGGCTCCACCTTTCAACTCTATCTCCATCATGCTGAGAGAGTGAGAGAGAGCGAGACTGAGACTGCTAGACAGCTCGAAAGAGATTGCAGCTCAGATGTCCTGGAAAACAGCAAATCCCTCAGACCTGGCAGATTCCGTTACCATGAGAACTGCAGATATTTCCATTGTGATGGCTTGCTCTAGCAGCCATCTGTTACACCCATTTGATTAGGAAGTACAGTTCAGCTTGTATGGGATTTTCACTGCACCTTATCCCATGGCAGCGTACAGAAACTCTCTCTCTCTCTCTCTCTCTCTCTCTCTCTCTCTCTCTCTCTCTCTCTCTTTTTATATGCTAAACTCAATGTTTTTAAAGTGCTGTAATTTACTGGGGCTGAAGACATTTAATGAAATGCTGGGAGGAGGTCACTGAGGGACAGTATCTCTGAGAAGAAAGAAGCACATGAGATATGTGAAGGGGATTAGCATCCAGTATATAAATAAGATCAGCCCAGAAATTAGCTGTATTTAGCAATTCCTCATCCTTGCCAGGGAGAGGAGCTTGATATACAGACCTCATGAAGCCATAATAAAATTAGTAATTGCCTCCTGTTAGTTAATCCCACTCCATATATATTTATTGTATGCCTGAAATAAATGCATGCAGCAGATATATTTCAGGTCTTCTGTAAAAAAGGCGAAGGTGATGACTCTCCCCAGATGCCTGAAGTGGTGCAGTGGCTGCACTGTGTAACGATTAGATTAGCTCTAAAAATTTAATGGTGTCATTTGACTTTTCATAGACGCAGAACAACCTTAAACTTTCTTGAAGGTTTTCTGTGATTTACTGATTAAAACAATTGTTTGGAGTAGTTGAGTCCCTCGGTGTAAATTAGTGGTGAAGGAAATGGTAATGGCACATCAAATGGATATAAAAACAAAGGAGTCCCCTTCAATTAAAACTCTCCAGACATTCTTCCTAAGTGGCTGGCATTCCAGATTCAGGGTAATCTTATGTGTGGCATAGTTGCCTCGAGTATCTTAAAATGACTGAAGGTCTTGTAAACTCAGTGAAGCTAATTAAATGCTCACACTCTGAAATGAATTTCTGATTGCTGCTAAGGAGGCATTGAGGTCAGCTCCTCTTTTCATTGCCCACACTTTATGGCCAATGCCAGATACTAAATAAATCAGATCCTCAGAATCAGGGGCTCTGTGGTTTTGTTCCTCTTATACATTCTCCCACCCGGCTGAACATAATTCCTTATCCGTCTTCATCTCGGCATGAAAAGTTTTCTCTTCTATTGTTTTTCCTCACATAGCACCAGATTACCATGGAGAAGACTATGATATCATAAGAAATGAATGAGCATGTTTCTCACCATGGGTGAAATATACATTCCAGACCTAATAAAGTCAGGAATCATGCAATGGTAAAATGAGCTCCTTAGTTAGTGTAAATAGAAATGGTTCTTCTTTAGGTCTCAGCTTCAGCAAAGTAAGTTCTTAGGCACATGGAGACACATAAGAACATGTTTAATAACTTCTTGGAGTACGGATTGTTCTTAAAATGTTTTGCTGCATCTGGGCCCACAAACTTTTTTCTCAAAAAAGTCAATTTTTTATAATAATAAAAGATTTTCTTGTTGATCATCTTTGCAGCAAATTAGAGCTTTCACTTCTTGCAACCTCCCATCTCTCATAATCCTGGAGTCTGAGCCAGAGAGAAGAGAGTCCTTTTTTTTTCTTTCTTCAGACAGGGCACTTGTTTTATGAATGTGGTATCTGCCTTTGACAGGCAGCAGATGTATGGGAGCCCTGAAATCTGAAACAATAAATACCATTCAGAGTCTCACCACTGAACCTTCTTATAGTACTGCCTTTGTTAAATGAAACATTTACAGGAATACCATCCCCCTCTTCCCACCCACCTTCAAGGCTAGGATCTGAACCATGTTTTTAAAGTAAAGGTTAAGTACCTGAGGCATGAACAGTTGACATACAAAAGAAACTAAAGTAAATTTATCATTCGTTTGCCAGCTACGAGGTGTGTCGAGGGCTTTTTCTTTCTCTTTGTAATGCATGAGAAAACAAACCTGGGAAGCGTATGCAAGGAATATTTCTTTTCTACACTGGAATGTTAACATTTGCACCTTCTGACTTAATACTGTGTATTTCTTCAGAGTCATCAATCTCTTGAGAGTCATCTTGCCATCTGTACCAGCATTGCTCCAGGCTTCCATATGAAAGTCCAATCTGGCGGTATAAATACTGGATAATGAAGAGTAGGTGTTAAAGTTTCTGACTGGTTGGAAGATGAGTCTGTGTCTATGAAAGATCCGAATTCATGTGTTAAACAAACAAACAGAATCTATGTTAACATGGAAGTTCAACCACAAAGAGCATGATGCATGTTTGTTCTCATACCCTCTCCCTCTTTCTGCGGCTTTTCCTCAATTTTTTCCTTTATCTTTCTCATTTTTATGGAGTTCACCCATGATCTGTGAGAAAAATATTCTCTGAGCACAACATTACACTTCGGAGATTTCAAACTGGGGCAGCATGTTGACTTCCTATAATGTAAGGTTCCTTTTTCTCCCTCTCTCCATTTGCTCCAGGAAAGCTATAACTACATAGATTAGCAAAACTTTTGCAAGAATGGATGTAAAACAGATTTATCTCAGTGTCAGCTTTATCTGATCCATTTGGTCTTGCAGAGTTTGGATGGTTTCCTTTGTTACAATAACCAGCTTTCAAACATCTATATCCTTAGGGTATTAAATGTCAGCCTCTAGTGTATCATTCAAGGATAAAAGATTGACAATACTGAAGTACTTTTTTTTCCTTCTTCCTTTTTTTTTCCTCCCCTTCTCCAGCACTGGCAGAGTCTTTACGCTGCACACCACTGCTGACCCCAGAAGTGACCCACAGGAACTACTGGCAAAAGGAGCGAAAAGGTATTTCAGCTTGTAGGCATTAGAAACTCTCTTCATTAATAGCCTTTTTGCAGACTTTTCAGATAGATTTCCTGTCATTGTGATGAGGATATATTTGTAACGAGTCCCTTAAGTAAATGGCAGTGGATAATTAATTGAACTAACTAGGACTTTCTGTACTGTATTTTTTATTTTTTTTTCTTTTATTTCCTCTTATTTTTCCCTTCTTTCCTTTTTTTTAAATTTTTTTTCTTTTCTTTTCTTTTTTTTTTTTTTTTTTTTTTTTTTTTTTTTTTGTTTTTTTTTTTTTTTTTTTTTTTTTTTTGAGGTGGGAAGGAGGGAAGATTTCCAGATGGTCTCATGTCCTCTGTGATGGGTGTACAGATCATTGCTATCTGTATTTCAGCCCTAATTCAAATAAAACTCTTAGGCATTCTGTTGAGGGAGGTAGATTTTTTTGTTTTGGCTGGCATCAGATTGATGGCACTTCTCTGGGTGAGGGGGTTACTACCCTGAGCCTCATCACACTGAAAAATTGTTGCTGAACATGATCTTGCTGGAAGAGGCAGCTCAGAAAACATCATTTGGGTCAGTGCTGATATCCATACTGTTGATTATATGACCATAATTCTGGTTATAATTCACTTTGTCACTCCCATCATGCAGACTCCAGTCTCCCAGATATGTGACACCAGTGGAAATCTACAGTGAAACTAAATTAGGCTTATTATTGTATTTCATTCTTAGATTGCCTTCTTAGCACTGGCCTTCAGCCTCTTCAATTAAAAGTTTGCAAACATGCATTCCTTAAGTAATTTCTGACCTTCACAGCTGGTTATGAGGCAACTGTAGTTGAAATCTTTGAGCAAAGTCTACTTCTCTCACTCAGGGGCCTCCACTTTTTCAATTTTGGAAATGACTTTTAACTTTGTAAATGACTATTAATTTTGCAGCCATTGGGACAACTCTCCAAAGGAAAAAAAATTCTTGATGAACATGCACAATTTTCCTCTGCACATCAAAGAGTTCAGATTTTCACTCCACTTGTCAGAGACTACTGATAATTACTTTTATTAACCATCTCACAAATAACAAATGTGTGAGGTCAAAGAAGTCTCATTTGAACTTTTGTGGTTTCACGTGTGAAAAAGAAATGCTTTTAAGGGTAACCATGAGTGTTGGGTAAGGAGCCATAATTTTCTCAGTAAAATAGAACCCATTAAGAAGATAAAGATACTGGGGTGCTGCTCAAGTTCTCCTGAGATTGTGTTCTGACAATTGTTTTCAGGTGTGTTTAAAACTACTTGTCTCCATATGCTGCTTTGAGGAATAAATATGCTTTACTACATCTTTCATTATTTTCTGTTAAAAAGGGTATGTCAAATTAAAGTTCTCATTTCAGGCAGCTTGTCAGATTTACAAGATTTTTTTTTTTTTTTTTTTTTTTCCTCACATTGTTGGACATAAAGCATAAAAAATGTGAGATAATCCTAATCTCATTTATGACACTGTAAATCAGGGTGAGTTTTGCTGAAACAGTGGAATTATCCCACTGTTTTAATCAAACTAAGGAAAGCTTGGTATTTGAGTTCTGTGCTAGTGCTTCGTTCTGTTTGGCACTTGTGATCTGCTCTGAACCAAGCTAACAAGACACAAAAAAAAAACCCAAATGAAAAGAAAATCACTAAAGTAATGACATTTTAGGTGTCTAAATTGTTGTCTCTGAATTTCAGCTGTGCAAAGTTGTGATCTTCTATAATTATTGCTCTAGTTGAGACCTTTAGACACCAAGTATCCTAGAGCATACCTCCTCATCTTCCATCCATCCATCCATCCATCCATCCATCCATCCATCCATCCATCCATCCATCCATCCATCCATCCATCCCTGCTGAAGATGTGATTGCCCTGATATTTTTGGACTTTTTTAGACCTGGAGGTGTAAGCTGGAGCAGCCCAAGAGTCCTGAGTACAAGTCCCTGATTCACCACTGGCTCCTATTTTAAACATTTCCTGCAAGGCAAATGGAAAAGGGCCTTTAATGTCTAATGTTTAAGCCTGTCTCTGCCTTTAAGTCTTGAGATAAGTTATTTATGGGAAGCAGACATCTAGGCTATCTTACCCTTTTCTTCTGTGCATTGAAGGCAGTGAAGGTTGCAATATTAATTGCTGCATCAGCAACTCCAAGATTTAATGTTTTTCCCCATTCTACAGGCAATGTATCTCTTGCTTGATTTCCCACATAGTCTTCACTTTCACAGCCATCTGAATGATAAGCGACAATAATGTCTCTGGAAGTGATCCATAAATCATATTCAAATCCACACATCCAAATCATCCTATTTTTAATCTCTAAACTACTGTAGTCTCTGCTTGCTAGAGCGTTTCAGTTGGAAGCATTGTGCTTCCCACCTACATGTTTCCTTCAAATCTGTGCTAATGCATACCTCCTCCCCCCCCCCCCCCCCCCCAAACAAAAATAAAAAAATTCTACCTGGATCTTGAGTAATAACACATAGAAAAGCTAAGAACAATGAAGGCCTCTCCAAATAAACTGAAGCACTCACATGAACTACAAATAATTCAGTGTTTTATCAGGATCTATAGAGAGAATATGAATGGTCTTGAGTTTAGGCCATGGTGTTCGAGTGGAGAGTACTTGAATTGTCTTTGTTCCTTTTCCACAGAGTTTCTGCTCAAAGTCCCATCCAGCCTGGCCTCAAACACTTCCAGGGATAGGGCATCCTCAGCTTCTCTGGGCAACCTGTGCCAGGGCCTCACCAGATTTCATTTTGTATCAAAGTATAGAAATAGTTCCAGGACACTGTGAACTTTCTCTCCTGGAACATCCATCATTTGTTGTTGTGGTCTTTATGGAGGTATTCCTGGAACAAATGCTTTTGCTTTTTTGTGGCTACAGCTGACACTTCCTTTCCTTCTTTAGCTGCCCTCAGCCAGTTGGCTGGACACTTCTTGAGATAAAATTAGAAGTGGTGCCAGGCTTCACCCAGCTGATGGTTATATCCCTGGTGAAGGTTTTTAGGGATCCCTTGAAACCCTTGCCTGTCCAGGTCTACAGCACTCAGCACAAGAAGGAGATGGAGCAGGTCCTCAGGCCACAGAGATGCTCAGAGAGCTGGAGCTCCTCTGCCGTAGAAACAGGCTGAGAGAGCTGGGGTTGCTCAGGTGAAGGAAGGCTCTGGGGAGACCACTGTGGCCTTCCAATGCCTGAAGGGGGGCTTAGAAAAAGGAGGGAAAGGGACTTTTTATATAAACAGACAGTGACAGATAAGAGACAGCAATTTTACACTGTAAAGGGCAGTTTCAGGGTGGGTGTCAGGAAGAAATTCTTCACTGTGACAGTGGTGAGACCCTGGCAGAGGCTCCCCACAGAGGTTGTGAATGTCCCTTCTCTAGAAGTGCTCAAGGTCAGGTTGGACAGGGGTTTGAGTTGCCTGGTCAGATGAGTGGCAGAGAGGTTGGAACAGGGCAACCTTTAAGGTCTCTTCCAAGCCAAGCCATTCTGTGATTCCATGATCTGAAAGCTCACACTTGTGTCTGGCCACTTCCTTGCAACTGGACACCAAAGGAGAAAGGAATAAAAACTATCTTTCAATATCCACGCCCACAGGTGAGTTAAAGCAGGCTGTGCACCCCTTGTCCACCCCGTGGGTGTTGCCTCTGCTGGGAGATGGGAAATGGGCAGCTCTGACTCTGCTGCTCCTGCATCTGCCCATCACGTGGCCCCAAGCAGCAGGTGCATATCCCCTCCACTGCCAGGGCACCTCATTAAGCTGACATCCCCCGAGGCACACAGCCTCCATAGTGCTACCCAGGCTGGAGAGATGCCTAATAAACTCAGTCCTGACCAGAATGCTAATGGGCTCGTGCCTTCAAAATGTTCCGTGCCCACTGCACATGTTTCTGTCTATGTGATTACTCTGGTTACTGGGGAGAGGGGTTTTTTCCTTCCTCCCAAAGAGTATTTTTTTAATGTATAAATGGGATTCTCAGAATATCTGACTTGGGGTTTCTGACTCGTTTTCCACTAAGTTGTAATTCTGGGTGTCAACGAAGTATATAATATCTAAAAGGATGTTGGAATTATTCTGTATTAGACAGGCTCCTGATCACAATATCTCTTAGCAGCAGTGCTGGACTTCCAAGCAGTCATGTAATGTCAGTTCTGAGCCTCCACCTTCTGAGCCTCCACATTCATTGTGTGCCTGAACTAAATACACAAATCAAACTGAGAAATTTGATAAAATCTCCGTGCAGGGGTTTTAGCTTTGCAACCGCGCTAATGGGGGAATGTGAGTTACTGTCTTGACTTCTGCATTGTCAGCCTCACTGTTAACAGTATTGCAGGATTTATTTTTTTTCTTGTTCATTCTGTTGAAAGCAAATCAATATGGAAGTTTTTTGATATCAGAATCTCTCTTAGTAATATTAGTAGTCGATTACCTTTTGGGGTTAAAAAAAGGGAAATGCTCCTTTATCAAATAGGGCAATGATTACTTGACAATATCTAAATTATTTATTGTGGCTTTTCATATGGTTTCCATCCAGCATTAGCTGAGGTGGAGATTCTCAGTTGGATTCCCATTAGACTTGCACTATTTCTAGCTTCTTTTTTAACCAAATTCAGCTTTTGTGGAATTGCAGTGGGTGAACAACCAAATTTTATTGCAAATGAGGCTTCATTCAGCAGCAAACAAACATGGACTCAAACCAGATGTCTACACATTCAGAAATAGGTATCTAAATGAAAATAAGTTTTGGTAGACTATAGAAGAAATCAAAATTGGGTTCAAAGTCCAGGATGGACTCTCAGATGTCTCTGGGATGCAGCTTTTTACAGAACATCTCAGTGTTGGTAAGAGCACCGATGTTATTTTTCTCTGCAGGCACAAAGGGAAGTGTTTCAGTATTTCTCAGCTGATGTGGATGCAGACAAAAGCTCTGTTTTGGCTGTGTCCTTTTGAGTCAGGATTGGCAGTTCCCCTTTCCATCAGGCAGCACTGTAGAGACAGGTAAGGATCCCCATGGAGGCAACAGGGATCCTAAACAGAGCTTCCATCCTGCAACAGAACCTGCTGTAATTTCCTTCCACAGTGCTTATGGGTGGC